ATAAAAAAAATGAGATTTAAATTCGTAATCGTTTGATCATCAAGATTTTGATAAAATAAAGTACTAAAAATCAAATAACTTAAAAATAAATAAATTACCCACAACATTAACATTATCATGAGTTGGTTATTGAACAAGTTGACAATGATTTTCGACTTTTTATTTCTCACATTTGTTTGATTTTATTGTTATATTTTTAATTGTAACTTGCTTTAATTCTTTTAATTCAAATTTTCCTTTCTTATTTGACAACTTAATATTTTTTTTTTAATATAGTCAAATATATAGGATTTTTTTTTAATTGTTGGATTCAACCGTAAGAATATTATAGACCTACTTATGCGTAAATCGAAATTAAATTTTTCTTGAAATAATTTTAAAAACGCATCCTTAAATTATTTTGATTATTGACTCTAAATTTTAAATCTAAAAACAAGAAGAAAGAATAAACCTTTTTAACCGTCAGGACAACCTTCTAAACTTAATTATATAAGATTTAAACAACCGAAGATTCAAGAAATTTATATGTTTTAAGATTTAAATTTGACAGCTAAATGGAAACAAGGATTAAGACGAGGACTTTAATTCGAACAAGTATCACAAGCATGCTTGGATTAATTTAAATACAATGAATCCACTGATTAATTGCTCCATTCATTACAACGTTTTCTGCCCGTATTCAGTTTATATTGATAAACAAAGTCAATAATTTTCAGCAGAGTGCCAAAATTAAAATCCATTAGCAGCCTTAATTGTCAAAAACAAATCCATTGGCAACCAGAAATTGCTCACATCATATTCGATGGCTGTGAACCCTAAAGTCCCCCACCACCTAACTTATAGAAAGGAAATGATAAATGTGCATCCGTTTTTTATCAAGACAAATGTGGAATATAAGAGTGTACCCTCTTATAGTTTTTCTCTATGTGACTTTTTTTTTCGAAAAAAAAAATTGCATGTCTATATACAACGATTTTTTTTTTTTTTTTAATGTATCGACTAATTAATATGACAGACTGTGTATTTAAAATTATATATGTTTCAATTAATGTGTTTAAATTGATTTAAAGATATTCATTATCATCAAACTAAAAAAAAAACAAAAAACTTATATTTGCTGACAAAACTATTTATTAGTGAAGGGCAATTACATTGCATGGAATTGAATCTCACTGAAAATTCAAATTCATTGTGCTGGAACCCAGGATCCAATATTGGACCTCTCTATAAACCTAAAACACATGCATAATGTGTGACATAACAACACCCATGGACTAATAAAAGTTACAAAATTTAGTGCAAGCTAGAAAACAAAATAAAACTAAGCAAAGATTGGGGTAATTAAATACTAACCAAAAGTTGATACAAAAACGACCAACATTGTTTTTTGTTTTTATATATATATTTAGTGGACATTTTGGGATTAGTTTTTGAGTAAATCAAAATTAAATTACAGAGATTTTAAAATATTCATAAAATAACTAATAATACTTACTCCATAAACTCATTTTGAGAAAAGATAAAAAAAAATAAATTATATTCGTATTTATTAAAAGTTATTAGAATATTTGCACCTAAACTGTTTTTTTTTAGTTCTCTATTGTTATTTTTTTATGTGTTTATTTTCATCTATAGAGTAAGTATTGTTAGTTATTTTATAAATAACATAATTTTTTTCTTCTCAAATCTATTACTTTTTGAGTCAAGCCAATGTCAGATTATGTCTATTTTTGAATTGATTTTAAAAATCAGTCTTTTGCAAATTGATTTAAAATCTATTTAATGTTTATGTGCCGTGTAATATTATGGTTACCAATCGAAATTAAGCTTTTCTTCAGATAATTTTAAAAACGCATCCTTTATATTGGCTTGATACATATATGAAAATAACTTTTTATTTTATTATTGACTCTAAATTTTGAATTAAAAAAAAACCTTTTAAACTGATATGTTTAATTTTTTAATCGATTTTAAAAGTCCAATTTTTACAAATTGGTTTAAAATCTGCTTAATGTTGATGTGCGGTGCAATGCTGTGGCTGTCGTATTGTGCCTGTCGTGTTGTGCAATGGCTATTGTACTACGCAATGGGATAAAAACAGTATTTGGTGATTGGTTGGTGTCCTGTGCTTATAAACGTTTAAAACAACTAAAAAGTATTTTTTAAATTGTTCTGCTGTGTTTTTAAGATATAAAATGAACAGTAAATATTATAACACACTAAAAATATTTTAAAAATATAATATCAAGTGATTTATAACTTCTTATATATATATATATATATATATATATATATATATACGAGTGATTCTTAAATTCAATTTTTTTTTAATAAATAAATAAGTTCATAATATATAGAAATATCATTTCAATAAAATAAATGATATAAAAGAACAAAAAATAATTTTAAAATAGAATTACGTAAGTAAAACACTGATATATTTGGTATGTGTAATTTTTTTTTTAAAAAAAGGAAAAAACTTGTCATTTTAATTAAAAAAATAAATTCCACAATAAGCAGTTGTGCATGTAGCCAAAAGCAAAAAAATTTCCAACAAAACAAACATTAAGAAAACACTGTTTTCAAATGAAAGATAACCCAAACTAATCGTGCCATGCATGCGGCCTTAATTTACAATTTATTAATCTCTAATTAACACCTCTTTTCTCCACATGTAGTTTCCTATATAAACTTATATTTTTTTAGCAAATTTTTAAAGTAGTTGTTAATATTTATTATAGATTTATTTACAAACCTTCTGAATTAACCATATATAAACATAAAATGCATCATTCTCCTAGTAAATTAAACAAACATGTCAAATAATTTATAGTATTCATCAACCTTCTGAATTCACTTAATTACTTCATTCATGCCCCAGAAATTAAATCCCATTTAGTGATTCTTTTTCAAATCCAATCAGAGAAAAGGGACTGATGACGTTGATAATGAAAAATAAAAATTCTATCCTTAGTGCTAAAGTAATGAAATAATTTTAAATATCATCTTGTTAAGCTACGTAATCGATGATCTCTTAATGATGATTAAGTGACGTGTATATGCAAACTAAATTAATCATCAAACTAAAACCATTGGGATATCAATACGATGACCCGGCACATGCTCATAAACTAATCTCTTTCTTTCTTTTAAAATAACAATCACGCTTGGATTATACAATAGTAATAATAATTCTTAATTGTTTTTTTATTTTTTATTTTTTAAATATGAGGTTCAACCACCCATAAACAGTGCAGAGAGGTTTTGAATCTTTCATCAACAACATTTGGTAGTACCGAATATTTCTATATTGCTTTACTATCACTTAAACAGATGTAAAGATAAATTACAAATAATATTCTACTTTTTAAATTTATATATATTTAATATTCTGCATTAAATATTAATACCTTATCTCTTTGAAAAGAGAGTGACAAAACTAGAACTTGAAATATCGAAACCGCGTGAGTGAGTTACCGATCACGTGTAATTACGTGGATCTAATTTGGGTAAGATAAACAACACTAGAAAAAAAAATATAATCAGTTATCTTTATATAATATCTAAAATCTTTTACTTATCCTTAAATTTTTAATTACATCATATTTTTTAAATTTATTTGAAAAGTTGAATCTGTTATTTTTATTAATTTTTTTCAAAAATAAAATTTTAAAATACAAAATACTCCTAATTGAAGTATAAAAAATAACAATAAAAAATAAAACAAGCAGGTGATGTATTTTATGAATTTTTTTTTTATATTTTAGTAAAGAATATTTAGGTAAAAAAATATTTATGGTCTGAAAAATTGGTTTAAAAAACAGATTAAATATCTTAAAAATTTTCCGAAGATAATGAAATGCAATTAAAAAATTATTTACTGATAAATGTTTTTAAATATTATATAAAAGGTAATGAATATATCTACACAAAAAGAAAAATTAGAAGAAACAAATTAAATGCATTGCACAGCACACACCCTCGGTACCTCTCTCCATCCTGTCTGAAAGCTAAACAAAATTAAAAGAAGGTTGCCACGTCATCACTCTTTCTTTATCCAACTACCGCCTGCCGTCTCTTCCCTTCCCGCTTAGCTGTTCCTCAATGTAGTCTCTGGACCCCACACACACTTTCTTCACTTTCTCTCACTACTAACCACTTTAATTTTTTGTTTTTTATTTGCTAGTAGCATATATCTTAATATAAGTTTAAACGTTAATTTAATTAAAAATTTTTTTCCGACCATGCTAAAAATACTTTTTTTTATATTGATTTGATAAAAAAAAATCTACTTAGTATATTAAAAAAATTAAATACTAATTTCAAAATTTCTTTTTAATGTAAAAATTATGACAAAAATATCAAAATAAAAGGAAACTGGATAATCTAAAGCTCAAATAATTATTGCAAGTTTGTTTATGACATAATCATTACTTTTATTATCGATATTTAGAAAGATTATCGGAATAAACAAGGATAATCTATCTATCTACCTATGACCCAGAGAATATTTAATCTTTGCACATGGAAACTAATTTGGTAATACCATTATTAAATAACTTCTGGCTTTGGTTTTGGAGTTACAGTGTGTTGTGTTTGTTAACCACAGTAACAGTTACTGTGGTTAACAAACCGATCCTTCAATTAAGTAAAGCTTACTCAAACATAAGAAATCGAGATTAAAACGTGTTTTTAATCTACTCCACTGAAATTTGAGAAAAACCTTGATTAGTGAGATGAGCTCTTTCTCTCTCTAAAAAGTTTTAAAAAATCTAATTTTCTCTCTCTAAAAAAGGCAGCCAAAAAGTCTTCCTTTTTTCTACTCAGCATTTCCTCCCCCTTTCCTTTACCGTATAAATCTCCACTCAAAACCCCAAATCCGAACTTTTGTTTCTTCAAAGTCTTCTCTTTACACACACGAGAAAAATATCATTTCTTGTTCTCTACTTTGGCTCAGAAGTTGATAAAGTTTGCATCTTTACAATCTTACAAGGCAAAAAATGCCTGCTTGGTGGGGTAAAAAGAGCAGCAAGAGCAAAGAAGGGAGTAATCAAGAGAATCCATATGGGAAAAATGATAAAAAGAGCAGTACTATCAAAGAAAACAATAGGAGAAGTAGTCTTGATGAGGCGGCTTTGAGGAAGATTTCACCACGTGTCAGCAAGGAACTTGCTGGCAGTGGTGGGTCATCCGGGTTTTCGGGTTTTGATTCGGATTCAGGTGAAAAAAGACGGCTTCCTTTGCCTCCACCGTCCTTGAGTGATCTTGGTGGTGGTGGGATTGGTGGTGGTGTTGGATGCGGGTCGGGTTCTGTTTCAAGTGTTAGCTCGTCTGGGTCATCTGGTGGTGAAGATCACGATAATAATCAGGGTATTAATAGTCTGTATGGTGGTCACAGGTTAGTGTTTTTACCCCAATTCTGGGTTTTGGTTTTTATGTTTTGGTGGGATTTAGAATTCTGGGTTGAATTCTGATTTATGAAATGGAGTTGTTTGATAGGTGAATTTGATTGATTGTTTTTGGATGTGAAGAAAAGGCTTGGGCTATTTTTAGGGTTTTTTTTTAAGTTGTGAAAAATGAAAAAAAAAAAGAAAAAAGAAAAAAGAAGATATTTTTTAATCTTCTCTGAAAGTTTTTGTGTCAGAATTGGGGTTTGTTGTCTGAGGCGGCTGTCTCTTCTGTTTCCTCAGCTTTTTTGAATTCTGAAACTTGCTGTTTCCAAATACCTTGTCCTTAAATCCTCTGTGCTCTCTCTCGCTTTCCTGAGTTTTTGCTGTCAAGAGTTTGATTGCTTTGGATGAAAGTTACTTTCTCTTTCCAATCAAATATTACTGATTTGGATCTTTCTTCCTTTATTGGACAGTCCAAGGTTTATTGGACTTAGTTCTTAAGCATTTTGGCTTTCATTTGGACTTAAAATTAGGGGTGAATGTTTTAATAAGATTTTAATTTGAAAATGAAGCTTATATTAATTAAAGATGTCTATTTTACTGTAAAATTAGCAGCTTTGTTTTTTTTTTTTGGTTTAATTGCTAGTTAAGCAATGGAGTTTCTGCTCCATTTGCAATATCTAGAGATGGGGTTTCTTGTTTGTCACAATCAGCTAGCTGATTTTGAAATCTAGTTGGCTAAGAATTACAAGAACGGATTCAGTATGATTCTCAAGTGCATCTGCCGACTGTAATCCAGGTTATCTGTTGATCATAGAGGACATGGTGGGGGCGCAAGAAGCCCTGGTCCAGGGTCGAGAAGTCCCGTTCCTGGGTCAAGAAGTCCCGTTCCGGGGTCAAGAGCAGCAAGCAGGCCTACTTCACCTCTCCATCCGCTTTTGGGTGGTATGAGTATAGACTCCCCAACTGGGAGGCTAGAAGATGGGAAGAGCCAATGTCATCCACTGCCTCTTCCACCAGGTTCTCCCACTAGCCCTCCTTCCTTGCCAGGCATAAAAACTACTGGAGCGTCAGAGAACTCTACTACGCTGTCAAAATGGAAGAAAGGAAAACTCCTAGGAAGGGGGACTTTTGGACATGTTTACCTCGGATTTAACAGGTAATATCATTGATTCTTGTAGACTACTTAGCCTAACTGCAAATTTTAAGTCTTAATGACATACCACTTGAAGATGATTATAGGCACAATTTACTCATCAGCACTTGAAGACTGTTTATGTTCTGTTCCTTTTGCATTTCATGGCTTTCTCTTCTAACTATTGTTTTGCAACTTAAACAGTGGGAGTGGGCAGATGTGCGCGATAAAAGAAGTCAGGGTTATTTCAGATGATTTATCATCAAAAGAATGTCTCAAGCAACTGAACCAGGTAAATTTGTTAATTGCATCAAATTCAGCTAACTGTAAAATTAAAATTTGTTCCTTAGAGACTATAGATTCTACAAATGCAAACACATTTTCCTTTAGATGTTTTGGCAATTGCTGATGTATTTCTAACTACTGCTCCTGGTCAACAGGAGATAAATTTGCTTAGTCAGCTATCACATCCAAACATTGTTCGTTACTACGGAAGTGAACTGGTATGAGTTACTTTTTGAGCATGAAAATCTCATCCATTCATGCACAATTGAGAGATATTGGAATCCATTTCTTGACATTTTTACTTCTATTCTATTCAATCTTACTGACTGATTGTGTATATTGGACCCTTATTTTGCAATCTCTTTGGTTTTTCATTTTCCCAGAGTGAAGAAACGCTTTCAGTTTATTTAGAGTATGTATCTGGTGGCTCAATTCACAAGTTACTTCAAGAATATGGTGCCTTCAATGAGCCAGTTATTCAAAATTATACCAGGCAGATTCTCTCTGGGCTTGCATATTTGCATGGAAGAAATACAGTTCACAGGTATGTGTCACGGATGATTATGGTTAACAGTTCATATCTGAAATCACAGTTTTTCCAGTCTTTCATTGGTTTTCTGAAATGTTTGTTCTTGGCAGGGATATCAAAGGAGCAAATATATTAGTGGGCCCTAATGGTGAAATCAAGTTGGTTGACTTTGGCATGGCTAAACATGTATGTGTGTGTCATCTGCAATGAATATAGTTTAATTTTAAGCCTTCTTAAATGAATATCAGACTTCACTTAATGGCAAACTTATTCAAACTCTGTAGTTGCAAATTTACTCCAATGGGTTGGAGAATCCAGAAAAAAAGCTTTGGGCTGATGAAATCTGAGAATAATGAATGTCAATTTTTAAGTTTGCTTGGTTCTTCATCAATAATATTAGATCATAATTTTTGTTATTCTTTTCCATCCCTTTTTGGATGATAATTGGAGTGTTTTGATTTGTGCTGTTCTGTATTAGATTACGGCATGCTCTTCAATGCTTTCATTCAAGGGAAGTCCTTACTGGATGGCACCTGAGGTAGCCGCTCTCTCTCTTTTTCAAGAAAAAATACCTTCCTCTGTCCTTCCCTTTGCTCAAATCATTCTTTCGGTCCTTTTTGCAGTTTTTCTTTTTTCTTTCTTCTTCTTCTTGTTTTTTTCCCCCTAATTAGTGTCTACTTTTTTCTTTGGATACTCTCATCTCAGGTGGTGATGAATACAAATGGCTACAGTCTTGCAGTGGATATATGGAGCTTGGGATGTACAATTCTTGAAATGGCAACATCAAAACCACCATGGAGCCAGTATGAAGGGGTGCGCTTCTGAAAATTTAGAACTTAATTAACAGAATTGTGTCATCACTATTGTTCTGTCATGTCCAGCTTTAAAGTGCTCATTATCAAGGCTGTTGTATTATGTTTTTAACAGGTTGCTGCAATATTTAAAATTGGAAACAGCAAAGATATGCCATATATACCTGATTATCTTTCCAATGATGCAAAAAGTTTTATAAAGCGATGCCTGCAACGAGATCCATCAGCACGCCCCACTGCTGCACAGTTGTTGGACCACCCATTCATTCGGGACCAAGCGACAACAAGAGCTGTGAATATAAACATTAGTAGGGATGCCTTTCCCAGAACTTTTGATGGAAGCCGCACACCGGTACGCCTCTTGGATACTTAGTAAACTAATATTTTAGATAGGGGTTTGCATCTCCCAAATGGCAAGATATGAGTTGAACTTTTGTTAATGGATAGAGAATTTGCATAACATGATTATTAGAAGGAATGTCAAACATGCTTGTGGAATACATGGTAAATCAGTGTTTATCTTGTGAAAAGTGTACATGCAAAACAGCTACGTAGTGTTTCACCAGGCTATTCAATTTCCTTCACCTAAAGCTTATGTTCTGTAAAAGAAATGCAGTCCAACAATGTTTTTGTTGGATAAGCACAATATGAGATTGAATTTATCACATTTGCCGGTATTATTCTCAAGTTTTATTTTGCATGCACATACATATCCTTGACTTCCACTAAAATATGCGGCTGTATGTGTATGTGAAAGGAGCTTATAATTGTAGACTTTTTGTTGCTGCTATATCCTCTACAATTTCAGTTTTTATGCTCATAATGTTTTTTATTTTCCAACTTAAAGTTGTACATCAGCTAGTTGCTTAATTATATTATTGTCTGAGCAGCCAGCCTTAGAGCTTCACTCCAACCGAACAAATGCCAATTCTTGTGATGGAGATTTTGCAATGAAGCCGGTGGTGAATAATACAAGAGCATTGAAGAATCCAAGGTAAATGACATACTGCCATTCATATATATATATATATATATATATATGCACTCATGCTTAATAATTATTTTAAGTTTTAAATTTGCTGTATGCAGGGACGATGGTAGAACGATCACATCTATGCCTGTATCTCCTTGTTCTAGCCCACTGCGACAACATGGGGCTGCACAGAGGAGTTGTTATCTTTCTCCTCCTCGCTCAGGCTTTCCTATGGTGGGACAAAGTAGTTACAATATAAGCGACCCCTCATTACATCCAATAAGACAAAGTCCATACACTTTCTTTGATACCCCTTTATTAAAAGTTCAAACACCGGGCACATCACCAAGAACGAGACCCATTTGAAGGAGTGTAAATATCAACACAAACAGTCGATTTCCCCAGAACCAGGTATCAACGGGAACTACACGGGTGTAACCATCTATGGTTCCTTGCTCTTTTGAAGAATCCGGCCATGAATTTTCCTTTTCTTCTGAGTGAAGTTAGTGAACTCCTCTTTATGAAACTTCTAAGAGGGTACTGGGGAGTGACCAGGGGAGGAGAAACGTAATTTTGATGCTAAATTTCTTGATACCAAGACAACTCTCTTCTTTGATTATTGTAAATGGCAGATGTCAGTTTGTTTGTAACATTCTTGTTGTAATCTAGTCTCTTGTATAAGATCACTGCTGATACCAACTCTTTTAGCTAGATAATGAAAACCATGTGATTCAAGCTCCCACCATCATGCCTTCTTCACTGTTCTTTTCACTTCAATGTTTCTGTTCCCCTATATTGTGAATGATGTTGATAGATCATACGAATATAGCCCTGCGAGTGGATCGGTAGGGGCAGCTGTGTCTAGCAACTGTCTGATTGGTCCATTTGTAGGCTCTGCTTGTGTATGTGGGCTCTGGATGGTCTAGACGAGCTGTAGAGGTTGCCTGTAGGACTTGGGAGTATGCAAGTTAGATTGAAGTGCTACTCTATCGATGCTTTCTAGAACATTTTTACCATACTGTCATGAAAACGCGTAAAATTTGGAAGTTCTTGAGTCTCTTCTGATAATTCCAATGGCAAATTTGACGTGACAAGGTGAAGTTGGCCACTGGAGGAGATTTTTCAGTAATGATGCCAAACGTGCTATGCCAGCCTGTGTGATTCCGTCATTGATGGTGCAAGCGAAGCTCTACTGTCTATTTCGATACTGGATTTGTTAGCCGGTTGTTCTGACAGCTACTTGCACTGCCGACTTCCCAATTTCACTTTTTTTAATTAATTGCTCAATGCATTGTATCGAGCAAAAAGTTTGGGAAGGAATCATATAAAAAGACATCCAAAATCAATCCAAGCGTGCGTAATGCCATCATCTTGTATGCAACTAAACTAAATTCTGTTTTTTTTATTCAAACAAGAGTTTTTTTTTTTTTCAATAATCAGGATATACTAATACCAGTTTTAATACTTCGAGATTAAATCCTTTTTTCTAATTGGTTTAAAGACAATTCATCTGCATCCAAATTAATATATTTACGAGATTTTTTTTCTTTCATAATTAATTTTTTTAATACAAATCCTAAATAATAACTAAATAATCAAATTCAGTTGCCTTCTCCTGTTTGTTGCTAATATTAAAAAAAAAATCCCTTGAATTTGATCTTTGAATACATACTACCGTAAGAGTATAATAAATACTTTTGATGATTTTTCGAATTCATAGTTATTTTCCCGTAAGAGTATAATAAATACTTCTGATGATTTTTCGAAATCGCAATTATTTTTAATGATTGTTGCATTTTTAAACAGTTTTTATAACTGAATTCGATGTTTTTGAGGTAATATATATATATATATATATATTATGGATTTCCCTTGAATTTGATCTTTAAATACATACCACCTTAAGAATATAATAAATTCTTCTAATGGTTTTCTGAATTTGTATTTATTTTTAATGATTATTGTATTTTTAAACAAGTTTTTATACTTGAATTTGATGCTTTTACGGCCAATTTTTTTTTTTTCTTTTGGCTTCCCTTGAATTTGTATTTATTTTTAATGATTATTGCATCTTTAAACAAGTTTTTATACCTGAATTTGATGATTTTACGATAATTTGCTTTTTCTCATGGGTTTCCCTGGAATTCGATCTTTTAGATGATGAGGTGCAAGCAAACCTAATTCATAGATGTGAGATTTGTTGGAGTTATTGAAAAATGTTAGTTGAGAAGTACATACATTTGGACTCGGGAGAGATTATTCATGAGTTGGGCCGATTTATAAAAAGGAGGAAAATGACATAGATCTGGGCCTTACAAGCTCTGAAACTTGGGTGGGTTTGGGGAAAAGAACTTCTTCTAACCTGGGCCTCATCGGAGGCCTACATCTTCTTATTTTTATACAATTAAATTGCTTGATTCATAAAAAAAGAAAATTTAATTTCAGCATAGGAAAAGCGAGCAAAGTAATTTGCGAAAAATAATAATAAAAATATATCAATTACTTAAAATTGAATTAAATTAAATTATTGCAGATTAAGGCCGTTATACAGACGTTTTTTTTTTTTTTTCAATCCCATAAATCATTATGACCCCACCATCGCCTCTAAAAATTTCTTTCGCTCTCTTCCTTTCAAAGGAAGCTTTGAGAGGGAAAAAAGTCAAAACACTCCCCTTTCTCTCCGACAAACAACACATACATGCCAATAGAACTGCCAAGAGGACTACCCTTCTCTGTAGACACATGGAGTCTCAATTCAAAGAGGAAGAGACATCATTTTTTAACCCATGCTCATAAAGATCACACCTCTGGGATTTTAACGCACTCTTGTTACCCAATTTACAGTACCCTTCTCACAAAATCACTTGTTCTTCAGAATTACCCTCAGGTTTGAGTTTCTTGTTGGCTTTTAGAAATGTCTATTTCAGTTTTTAGGTCTAATGTCGAGATTTTGGTTTTAGTTTTGAATTTTTTTTGTGTGCATTTGTAGCTTGAGGATTCATTGTTTGTTGGTATTGAAGTGGGACAATCAATGGTTATTAACGACCCAGATGGAGAATTCAATGTTACAGCTTTTGGTGCCAATCACTGTCCTGGTAATTTATTTAGTGATGATTTGATTTGTTGTAGTATTGATTTTAAGCTGTATTTTGATTGTTTCGTTGGTTTTGGCTATGTGGGTTTGGTGAATGTTTGTGATAGGTTATTATATTTGATTGGTATGTATCATGGTTCATTATTTGATTGTACAGTTCCATTGTAGTTTTTTTTTTAATCATTTGATTTAAGGATTAGGTTAGGTTTAATTTATGCTAGCTATGGTTTTTTGTGGGCAGGAATGAACACACACACACCCCGAAAAAAAACCGTTTTAAAAAAGAGTTTTTCTTACAAAATGATGCATTGGATTTGAAATAAATAGTGTGTTGAGATTCCTTAGTGTTGAAGTACTTCCAACCTGAAGCAAGCTCCAATGACTGAGCAACTAGCAAGGATACGATTAGAAGCACGTTGGTGCTGGAACTTACCGACAAAATCTCCCTTAGAGTTTTCAGAAATTGTTATGCAGCAGTATGCAATAATATGTGTGAGGATATGCTGAAATAGAACCATCGTATGAATTTTAACATATAGCTTTTGAAAGGTTAGATATATTGAAAGAGATATTGGTGTTATGTTTGCCGCTAGTTGTCCTTGGTTTTCTACTCTGCATTGGGAAAAGTGAGATTAAATTGCCATCACATGCTAACTTAGAATTTCTGTTCTGTCAGGAAATATAGATTGCGAGAAACAATCTATCGGGCTTAGTGTGGAAACTCCACAAATTTCCAACTTAACAAATCTGCTTACCTATTGGCTGTCTCTAGAAGTGTGTTATGCATGTCTGATTATGATATTTTAGATCTTTTTTTCTTGCATTCTTTCAACTTCACTTCCTTTTTTTTTTTTTTGGGTGGGGGTTTCTATGTTATTCTTTTGTGTGTCCTTGGGGAATTGGTCTTGCTTGCTGTATCTTTTGTGTGCATGACCTAAAATGATTTGGAGAGCTCTATTGACAGATGATACCTGTTTGGCATGGATTTATGAACTTCAGGAGCGGTGATGTTCTTGTTTGAAGGCAATTTTGGTAACATCCTGCACACAGGAGATTGCAGGCTCACCCCAGAGTTTGTAAGATGTTTACCAGAAAAGCATATCAGCAAGAAAGGGAAGGAGCCTAGGTGCCAACTTGATTATGTTTTCTTAGATTGCACATTTGGGAAATTCACTCAGAAACTTCCTAGTAAGCATTCAGCCATCCAACAGGTAATCTGAATTGGCCCCCTCCATCTCAAGTTTCTTTCGATCAGTAAGCTGACTTATTTTTCTCCATTCCAAAATATTTAGGGCTTTTAGTTTAGAAATCCTTTCTCATAGCTCGATCGCACCTCATTTTGTTTTACCTTTTGCATTTAGTGTCTCTTGTACTTCAATGCAGTTATTGTTCCTCTTTGGCACGTCTAAAGGTCTATGACTCTGTGTTGTGTCTGATTGAATAATCCTTAGACTTTCCTTTGTGTTCCCTTAGTGGTGGCATATCTTTCTTTTGTCTGTGTTTGTGCCCTGCTCTGTGCTAGCAAAGTAGCATTTTCGTTTCAGTTCAAAGAATATAGCTTTGTTTATATTTCTCTTTCCAATTAATTATTCTATGTTCGATTTCCTTGCTCCTTTCTTATAACTTGGATAACATGTATATGTTCCTCTTCACAATGCAACCGTTTTGATGCTCTCTCCCTCCCCTCTTCACTGGTTAAATGTTTCTTTTATTTTTGTGACAAATGTTAAGCCCTTCTGTTCTGCTGGAACATGTTAGCAAGTTATGTAGTGATTGATCTTGCATGTTCATGAACCAGGTGCTTAATTGCATATGGAAGCACCCTGCTACAACTGTTGTGTATCTGACCTGTGATCTTCTTGGTCAAGAGGACATTTTGGCTGCTGTGTCTGAAACATTTGGTTCCAAGATATTTGTTGATAAAGTTGCGAACCCAGAATGTTTCCGAGCTTTGACACTTACAGTTCCTGAAATTCTCACTCAAGATCCATCTTCCCGTTTCCATTTGTTTGATGGATTTCCCAAGTTATATGAACGAGCAGCAACAAAGCTTGCTGAGGCCCAAGGTAATTTTCAACCTGAACCCTTAATTATCCGTCCTTCAGCACAATGGTATGCATGTGAGGAAGGGTATTCCAAAACTGAAAGTCAAAGAAAACCGAGATTCAACGAAGCAGTTAGGGATCAGTATGGTGTTTGGCATGTTTGTTATTCCATGCATTCATCCAGGGGAGAGTTGGAGTGGGCTCTGCAACTTCTTCTTCCTAAATGGGTCGTGTCAACAACCCCCAGTTGCTTGGCTATGGAGCTAGATTATGTCAAGAAGCACTGTTCTGGCACTAAACTAACTTTAGATGACCCTATGTGGAAGCTTTTGGACATCAATGTTGAAGCATCATTAGAAACAGAAGTAACAGTCAGAGTCATGGATGATCCTTCTGCGGTTCAAGGGCCCAATCAAATTTCTGCAGAATCTCAATTATCACCAGTCCCTTCCAGACGACTTTTGAGTTTCTCTTCTCCAAGCAAAAGGCCAGCAGTAACTTTATTTGGTAGAGCTAGACTTGGCATCCCAGATTCTGGTTTCCCCACTGAGGAGAAAACTGAATCTATCGAAGATTTTTCACTTGTAGCAGCTCATAAAATAGATCAAGAAGTCCCATTTGAAGAGGATGTTGAAGTGAGATGTGAGAATAAATTGGAGAATAAGCTGGGTTCTGAAGTGAAATTTGAAAATAAATTGGACACCACAGATCAAAGTGGGAAGTCGGTCAAGAAAGAAGTTTTTAATGTTTCTTCTCGTTACCCCATTGGATCCTCAACAAATTTTAGCGAGACCTTGAGAAAGCTGTACAGGTCTATGAATGTGCCTGTGCCTCGGCCGCTGCCTTCTCTAGCAGAACTTATGAATTCCAAGAAGGGAACCAAGAGGAGATTCGAGTTTTAATCATACATTTTTCAGAAAATGGCAATATAGTTTTGCTCTCTTTTCAACATTATTCTGATTATGTTCTTCGACTTCTGACGAGCCATGCATCGTATAGCAAAGGACCTTGGAGGTGAAAGTCAGATCAACGTCTGTAAAGCTGTTGCTGCTGAGACCTTCAATTATTTATGCCTTTAAGGTAAAGAAGGTATTCATAGTACTTCGATTCTTTACTTTATGTCTTCATCAATAAAGCTCACATCAGAGTGGCTACTGGATTGTTGCCAATACGATGATTTTCCTGGGAGACTCACTTACCCTTGCTACCTCTATAAATCTTCTTTCATATCTTATACTCGTTCCGTCCCACGAAAAGAGTTCTACTTTCTATTTTTACGTTTCCAAAATAAATGTCCCTCGAGCAGAAGTCAAAGGATCAATTATACAATTTCTCTTTTATATTGCTTATTAATGCCACATATTTTTACCACGACTAAATTTATTTATTTATTTATTATTGCTAGGATAATCTCAGAAGTTTGCTGCAAAATAAGTGACATGGTTTTGTATTTAGCTTAAGCTGTTATGTGAGCTCTCGGGATATGATTTATATTATTTTCTAAAATACTTTCTCAAGTGAGATTTATACAATCTTATGCTTAATTAATTAGAAGAAAAAATTGAATAGTGAGATTTAAATTTGTGACTCGTGATCACTTAGTTAACAAGGCTTAGATACCATATAAAAGAATCATCTCACCTAAAAATTTAAGCTGTTAGATGAGATCTTAGAATATGATTTATATTATTGTTTAACGGACGTAAAGAGTAGTAAGTTGTAAAATTCTCACCGAATTGTCCCACCGAATTGTTGTGAGCTGAAATTCTTCTGTGTTCAAACTGGTTGCCAGTAAATGTTGACTGCATTACTTCTAAGAAATTATATATCATTGTGCTCTGAATTGAGTTTAAATTGAATAAACGGAATGTACACTGTCATTTTGTTTTTCCTAAACAAACTGTTAATCTCACCTAGAAGTTTTGAGTACCTTCTTTCCTCTGCCTTTTAGAGAATAGGAAGGCTTTGGTGTTCATTTCTCTCTTCTTTAATCAATTACTATGGAACCCTATCTCATCATCTGTTGCCTTTCACCGTTCAGTTATTAGTTTATACGTACTTAGTAGTTGATTGATATGATGACAATAAAAAAAGGTAAATTTTATTGCCTATGAGGTTTATGAGTTTTCTTTATTTCATTTAAATTTTGTGATTTGTTTCAATTATATTTCATGTCTTTCATTTTTAGTATATTTTGTAGAAATTTTAATTTCATCTCAGAAGTAGATGGAATATCTCAATCTAACTAAAAATAAAAAAATAAAAAAATTTATTTTTTCAATAAAATAAATATGATAGAAAAATGTTTTAACCACCATTGATGTTGTATCTCATACACTCTCTCACTAACATATTAAATTTATATTTTTTATTTTCATTAAAATCTTAAACAAAGAATTTTGAGGGAAAAAAAAGATAGAAATTCTATGTAAATAGGATGGTAAGTTAAGCGTAGGACAATTTTCATATCACCAATAATGTCATTATTTGCACATATGATGACCCACAAAAAAAAAAAAAAAAAAAAAAAAAAGGGGGGGGGGGGGGGGACATCATAGTAGAGAGGTTTTGATTAAGAAAAAAATTAAGAGAGTTAAATTAATTTTTATTTAATATAATATGACAAAAGAAAAGATAATGTTAAATGAAAATTAAAGTTGATAGGATTTGATGATTTCTTAACAAATTAATCTTCAGCTTTATCATATTTGTTTTTGATTTCTTAACAAATTAATCTTCGATTTTATCATATTTGTTTTTATAAAAAAAATATTTTTATTGATTTTTTGTTGTTTTGGTTAATTTTTGCCTTTTTTAAAACAATATTGAGATATTTCATAAACTTAAAGATTGATATTGAAATTTAAATACTTGACAAAAATGGGTAGAGGAGGAAAATTGTAGTCATAACCAAAAAAAAAAAAAAATCACTTTCATTTTACAATTTTAATTTTCGAGTCATATTATTTATTCTATTTTTTTATTTTATTTTAGCTTATTTCTTTTTTATTTAAATTATTTCGGGAAAAAAAGTAAAAAAACAAAAATACTAAAAAAGGAAAATATATAGAAAATACAAAAAATTTCATCGGAGGACATAATTGCATTAAAAAAAGTTCAATTGAAGTATTTAGGGATACAATTGAGTCAATTATGAAATTCGGTATTTGAATTATAGTCCATATGGGCTCAATTGATAAAAAATATTCTTTATGAGACTAAAATCATATAAAAATGGGCATGATTACGGATAATTGAAATTTGCAAGGATCGAGTAGAATATTGGAGCGAACGATACCGAAATTGAGCGAATGATCCGTCATCCACTCCAACCTAGATTCCCTCCAAAAAATCCTTCAAAAATCTGTCTAAATCTTTCACTAATTGTGTTTTTTGAATTTGAATTTATCGTGATTCCTGGTCGGAATTGATACTAACCGAAAATCATATAATCACCGATCCATTTCCTTGTGTTTAGTAACCAAATCTCAAAGTTGAGATTTGCCAATGAAGTTAGTTTTGAATGGGTTGATCTTAGAGAGAGATTTGAGCAAGTGTTGGCCTATAAAAGGTTTTGAATTCGGGAGAAGAAAGAGGGTTATGAATTCTCGGTTGAGAGAGAGTGAAATCAAGAACGAAATAAGGGTTATTGATTTTAGGGCGGTTCATTTTTTGGGTTTTTTTGGGAAATTTTTGTGCACGAGTGTGTTGTTCTTTGTTTTCCGATTTTTTGTTCCTCACCAATGGAGTAATTCAATTCACTTTTCTTTGTTTCCTAGATTTTGTTTTGAATATCCTGTTTGTTTTTTTGCCTAACTCACTAGTTTCGGTGTTTGATTTGCGTTTTTTGGATTTTCCTTTAAAACTTTCTAGGTAAAAGTACATCTATTCATTATCTCGTTTTTTGTGTTCATAGTTCGGGTTTCAATTCTAGGATTCCAGTTACCATCCAAACCATCAAGATCAATCGTAAACTCCCTTATCCCTTTAAAGTCATCTTGACATTTGGTTCTCCTTCATCCATTTCATAAGGCAACAATCATTTGTGTTCTTTTAGAAATTTCATGTCGACTTTTTTTTTGTTTAGTTTTCATTTCTTCAATTTCGTTATTTTAATTGTTGTTGTTTAACTCGCTCTTTATAGTTTGGACCATAGATTTTAGTTCATTCGAATGAATAGACTTTAGTCATTTAGCCTTCAATTCAAAACGAAAGTTTTCATTCTAGAGAAAGCCGAAAAACAACAAGAATGTGAGAGAGATGGAGTCGAATTCGATAAAAAAGCTAATTGATCGAAAAAATAAAAAATCAAAAGAAAAGGGCTCGTTTTTAGGCTTTAGTTCTAGTCGAGGAGTTCCTCTAAAGGAAGATAATGGGGCGTGGGTTGAGCTTAGCTGAACCCATACAAAGTTAAAGGTTAGGCTGGTTTTGGCCTTTCCTTAGCCTAGCTTAAAAAAAAAAAAGCTAGGTAGAAGGCTGGTTTTAGTCCAGAATCCGCCTCTCGAAGGAAACATAAGAATAATAAAAAAAGAAAAAGTAAAAATCAAAAGTGATAAAATTCTTGATGAAGTTTACTATCCGAAAGGAAATATCATTACCAAAGTCATCATTTAATCATTAGGATGCTCTCTAATACATCGAGCTGTGTCGAGGCTTAAATTCTCATTTGTAATCGCATAAGACTTTCCCTCTCTTCATCTCCTTCAAATCTTAATCTCTTCCAAAAGAAAAAAACCAGCCATCACACCACTCTACTTCCTCAAAATATACACTGGTCGTCCATCACTAACCTATTAAAGAATCATTGTCTTCCCTACTCATTCTCATCCAAGGAGCAACAATGTCCACCTTTTGACACATAAGAAAGTAAATAGCCATACCAAAGCCTAATGTTTAAGATATCCATCATGATCTAGTAATCACCCCATTTACCCAATTATTGAGTTTTCGGATGATGATCAAGAATTTCATTACAATGTATTGAAAAATAAAAGAATAATACATAATAGGTATATTGATCATCATGCATTAAAGGTTATTGGGTTATTGAAAAAGGTTAGGGGAATGTTAGACAACATAGGGTGGGTTGGATTGTTAGAGATGGATGCTCCCTCCTATAAGGAGCTCACTTTGAAATTTTTAAGTTCGTTTCAATTTGAAATATTAGTCGATAAACAATTATGAGCTTGTGAATATTTCAAATTTAGAGTGGCTAATAGAAAGTCTAGTCATAATCGAATTGAAATAACTAATTTATTTGGTTGGCCACATGAGAGTGCAAGGCAACTCCAATTGATTTTGAAAGGTCCTTTCGGAGAGAAATTACAAGTCTAAAGACCGAGGTACACAATCTCTTTTGGTCAAAAGCCTCAACAATGATTAGGTTGGTATTTCGGTTCATACACCGAATGTTGGCATGAACGTTATGTGGGTGAGAGAATAGCAATAGCGTGGTGAATAAGATGGAGTTGGAGATTTTATTCATCTCCAAGAAAGTGAACGTAGACTTTGCTTGTATCCTCACCGAACGCTTTTTAACGACTAAGAAGTCAAAAGAAAACGACATTATCATTGGTGTGTTTATCACCTATATTGTCAAAAAATTAAAGTAATTCAACCGAGGCATTACGACATTGACACTAGTAAAAGAACCCACTCACATGAATTTTGAAAAATTAATAAAGATTGGGCTACTAGAGAAGAAAGGGAAGAGTTACCTCGTCCGGCTAACCAAGAGATCACGACGAGAGGAGGAAAGTCAATCAAGTGACGGTGATGGTGAAGAAGATGATGAGGCTCCAAGAGCAAGTAAATAGGTTTCACGATAAGGCACATCGAGTGCCCAATCGTACATAATGGAGCAGACTTGCCTCACGGTTGGATGACCTTCAAATCAATTGTA